GTCATAATTTCTCCGAAATGCGTGGCCAGCATTACCGAAAGAGGGGTTAAATGCTTCACTGTCAAAATAGCGCTTCTGGAAAACTTAACCTGGATATTCATGCGCTAATAATCCTAATTCACAAAGGAATGACTTTTTAAAGATAAAGGCACCTTTGGAACTAGGATATATATATCTCATGTTTGGTTTATCTCACAAAGAAACGTTTCGATCTCATTAAATATTATTTTCCCACATCTATACAGCTTCTGGATGGGCAATTTCTACAGTCGAAATCATTCAGTTATTGCCTAAATAGCTCCAGTCTGAATCTAATCGAAAACATCTTCGATCAGTTGGGTTCAGAGATAAGTCAGATAATTCGGGAGTGATCGTTCACGACCAGGTTGCGGCATTTTGTTAATACGGCTTACAGATCACGAATCACGGTCGCAAATGAAGCACAAAGTCGGACTAGTGAGTGAATGCTGGAATCTTCCATCACCGAAACGCAAGAAAAAGGCCACAAACTTAGCAGTTCGTTCATTGAAAGAAATCAACGAGATCAAATAAAATGTACAAAGGAAGCTTATTGGCTATACAGGTATCCACCAATCGCGTGTTTGTATCCTTCACGTCATACAGTTTCCGTCTGGACCGCAAGACTTCCGATTGATCGGTACAATTGGTCTGTGATTCGTTGTCCAGGTGCTGTAATGCGTAGGCGCCTGGTTAGTGTACTAGCGGTTATTCAAATTAGGGAAAAAGTATGCTAATGTTTTCCGAAATGAACAAGATAACCGCTGTAATGCGGCCTCATGCATTCAGAAATTTAATTCATACATTTGTATGTATATTCATTAATGCTTTATTGATTAATTCAATTTTGAGTAGAATAATACACCAGTTGGCCTTCTTCTTTTAAATTGAAACCGGGTACATACAGGCTGCAGTTTTGGTGAAGTCAGGATTGTGAAACTCATTAAACGGCTAAAGGGGTGTGATCAAGTAGACCGTGGAAGTTTCGGATCTCAAGGAACCCAAAGGACAAGAGTTACCAGAGTTTCCCGCTTATCTTGAATGAACCTTTAGTCTGATTGCGCCTTTGTTGGTTGTGGTGATCCTAGCTTGCTAAATGACGCATACCCTGAAGTGATATTTTACAGTTTTCGGACAACTGCGATCAATCAAGCTTCACGAGGGACGTCAGCAAAGAGCGTACTTGTCACAGCTTCTAGACTACACACCATAGGTCGATTGTACCAGCCAATCAGAAACCGCGTAGCCCAGACAGAAGCTGAACAACGTCAGAAATACTAGAATGCAATTGGCAGATGATTGGATGACCAATGAACTCACACCAGATGCAGCATATCTGTACTATTATCCACTTACATATTTGCCGCTACTGATCGAATACCATTAAATGTAGCAGTTCCCGGTTGCTAGTGAAGAAGTAAAATAACAAAGCTTCAGTAAAACATATCATTCTTCTGATGTTCCATTTGCCCTTCTTTTGAACACTGTAATCAGTCGTTTTCGAATCAACCGTCGAACAGCATTTGTCAGTTTATCCTAATACAAGCGGCACCCTAATCACTGACGACCATCGTCGATGTGGTGAATTTAGCCCTATTTCTAACACAGGGCACAGTTCTCTATTTCATTTGCATCCCAACCGTGGGACGGTAATTGAATCAATTCGACATTGGACTTGACCCAACTAGAAACTGCATAAATGTTAAAAACAATATTTGATGAGGTGAAGTCAGCTACAGTTCAAATGGAGCCATCATTCTCCAAACGGTGGAGTGGGAAAATTACGGTCACCCCTTTCGGACCATTCTCTATGTTGATTATCTGCAGCTTTCCTCAGCTTCGATCGAATTCAACCATCGCCTTGATTCGACGCGACCGGTTTAGCTCCTCTTGATTTACGTCTTGACTGAGAAATTCCGTTATCTCTGCCATAAATGGAGTTTATGTTGATATCGACCACTGAGTCGTCGGATTCATGCGCATCTCGGATGTTTCATCCTGTTTAAATATGGTGACACTACATATCGCCCATTCAGCGAGCCATACACTTCAAGGTCAATTTTTGCTTGTTAGAATGTATTCTTAGTTACTTTGTAATGAGAGATGTCACGGAAGTAGTTTGTAGTCACATGACTTATCTTACTGGCATCACCTCTGTGTTGAAGAATCCCCTCGCTGCTCCAAGTCATACTGGGAAGTAATGAATTTTTCTATTTAGTCATGCAACACTGTTTCTCATTTGATCTTCGATATCTCTTCCGGACACTTGCGGATTTTAAAGTTTGACTCCTTTGTTTTCTACCCACGAAATTGCAAACCATACCTGTCGTAGTGGGTTCTGGTCAGCAGGCCGATCCTTTAACATCCGAGAGTAATGTGACCCGACGTTTTATTATTGTGGGATTCATTTGCTCCCACTGAGCATCTGAGGGAGCCAATGGTTATTCAGTTCTGAACGGTAACTGGCTCCAGTAACTGATTTAATCATTCTGTTCACCTAAATTCCTTTCTCTCCTCAGCATAGAGGTAACTGTTATCACCTTTGAACAGCAGGTGGACAGGTTACACTATCATACATGTATGTTGTGAGCGATTGCTATGCTGTGGTGAACCTAACCGACGGGATACTTCCAGCCGCGGGGCGACGCGTTACGGTTGCAAGACAATGGTGATCACTCAACCTTCCCAGATAAGGCCAGCCAAGCGCATACGCGTTACAGCTTCTGGACAAAGAACCACAGGCCAATCGTGCCGACTAATCAGGAGTTATGCGGTTCAGACAGAAACTGTATGACATCAAGAATGCGAGCAGGCGATTGGTGGATACCTGTATAGCCAATAAACTTTCTTTGTACATGTTATTCAATTCCCTTAACTTCTTTCAATAAATAAACTGCTACTTTTGCGTCTCGGTGATGGGCGATACCAGCGGGCGAGAGCTGCTGCGATTCAGTGTTTCAGTTGCTTCCGTGATTCTTAATTCTTAATTCATG